TCTTCTTTTTGGATAAAAATCCTTCAAAAATGGCCCTTTAATCAACGAAATTTGACTGTATTGTTCATATTGAAGGAAATCCTGTAATTCTGGCAACACTGGTTCTGTCATAATTCTAAACAAAGTACAACCCTTTATTTAAATGGAATGCGTTCGCTGTGAGCCGAAAATTATTAGATCTTTGACGTCACGCCTCGTTTTCGCGCCAATCGAATTTCAATGAATTTCAATCATTAATTTAAGTACTTTCCAGATGGAATTTGTACAAACTAATTTTACATATATATGTTTTAGGTAAAAATGTATAAATATTTAAATTATACCCGACACGTGCAAGGACCCTATTATATATTTTTATAACAATTTTAATAACTACCAACATTTATTCGCAACGTTAAACAAAACAAATTATGGAGTCTACCCTACATCACATTTTTACACGTTTTGAATAAAATTAGAACGGCACTGTAAACCGGAATTTAAGTAGGCCATTTTAGGACCCCGTCGCGTTTGATCTCAGATTTTTGATAATGCTCCTTCCTTAATCGTTTTATTCAAAGATGAAAACGAAATGATATTACCATAGAAACGCATTTTATTTTTTAGGACTTCAAAAGAATTCAACTATATTTTCATGTCTTTTTTTAATTTTTTTTGCGTTTCCGAAATTCAAATGGTGAGAGCTGAATTTGAAACACGAATATTCCCCCTACTATCCCAACTAAAATGCATGTAGATACAGAGTGGCTGAGTATTCAAAAAAAAAGTTCCAAATCATTTTATGTTTAGAGATTTTTATTCCAATCTTATACAGGGTTGTTCACCACATACGACACGGAGTATTGTAGATTGTAGCTAAATGATTAGATTATTGCAAATAGTAAGTTTTGGGATTGTTGACGGATGAGTTTATAATCATCTGCTGATGATGCTAACATGGTTAGCGAAACGCGCGTCCAGTGTAAAAGTAAAAGTGTTTTGGTGTATTGTGGTGATTTAGTGTTTTTATTTTGCTATTAGAGCTACAATTTAAATATAGTTTTACAAGATACAGAGTGTCCCAAATAAATAAATAATATCAAAGTTGTATTTTTTTAAATAGAACACCCTGTATATTATTACATTTTTAGTTTCTACGATTAAAATAAAAGTAAATTTGATTAACGTTGACCGCATTTTAATCTTACCGTTTTTGAAATATTTAGGTTTTTGTCAAAATATTTTTTTTAATAAGTTTAATTTTATAACCAAATATTGTAATGAAGTATTTCTATTTACTAAGTTGTGTGTTGCAATAATAAAAATTATACTACCTTATACAGAGTGTCTAAAAATTTATTTTAAATATTTACTAGCTTTAAACGGTAATAACTTGTTTAATTTAAATGGTATATTTAATTAACCCTGTATATTTCATGAGGATCAGATGCATCATTTAATTGTCTATCAAAATGTATTATACTATATTTTACCTATCTCTTCAAGTTTTCCTAGGAAATACATTTTCTTAAGACCTCATTTATCAATACCTATGGAATATTGACATTTTAGATTATTTTTAAAGATGTAACAAATTTTAAAGAGTACAGATACTAATATTGTCAATATAGTTCGTTTATTTAATTAAAAAATAAAAAAAAACTGTTTAAATATTTGTTAAAGAGGACCAATTAATATGATTCCAGTATTCAAACTACATTAATTGGCTGTTTGCGTTGATTAATAATAATTGGTTCAAATACAAAAATAAAAAATTGAATTGTGTATGTGTATTAGACAGTATGGTAAAAAGTAACACCTTACAAATTTTATATCATTTTTTGACGAATGCTTATTAACAACAACAGAGACGTTCATTTTCATAACTTATTATTATATTGACTTCCGATTCAAATCCACAGTTATTTAGAATAATTTATTAACTAACCCAATTAAGTCTATAATTAATTAATATTTGAGCGGAAATAATGGTGGTATATTTAATTGGTATACTCTTTTACAAAGATTTAAATATTTTTCTTTTTGTATAGAAATTGGCAGTAATATTATCGTTTTTAGCACCTGTACATTTTGTGCATTTGTTGCTTTAAAAACAAAATCTAAAATGTCAATATTCCATGGGTATATTGATAAATGATGTCTATTTTATAAGAAAATGCATTTTCTACGAAAACTTGAAGGGATAGGTAAAAAATTGTATAATACAATTTGATAGACAATTAAATTGTGCATCTGATTCTTCTAAAATATACAGGGTGTTCCATTTAAATTAAACAAGTTATTGTCGGTTAAAACTAGTAATTATTTAATATAAATTTTTGGACACTCTGTATAAGGAACTATAATTTTTATTATTGCAACATAATATCTGATCAATAAATAATCTTCAGTAAATATGTAGTATTAAAAACTTTGATACCCTTGGAGAAACGAAGCCTTAAAATTTTTACTGCAATTTCACAAAATTGAAAATATTTCAAAAACGGTAAGGTGTAAGTGTGATAAACCTTAGTAAAATTTACCTTTATTTCAATCGTAGAATTTAAAAATAGAATAATATACAGGGTGTTCCATTTAAAAAAAAATACAACTATAATATTTTTTACATATTGGGGACACTCCGTATCTTGTAAAAATATTTTTAAATTGTAGCTCTAATAGTCCTTCAACGAACCCAAAACTTACAATTTGTAAAAATCTAATCGTTTAGCTACAATACTCTGTGTCGTATGTGATGAACAACCCTGTAGAGGTGTATAAAGGAAATATTACACTGTAATTTTTTACAAGTGGGTGGAACTCTGTAACTAAATAGCGATCGATATCGATAGCGATGAAGAATACTGTCGCTTGCCGTTTAGTTTCTACGGCCAAGATCAGTATTCTTCATCGCTACCAATCGCAATTTAGTTACAGAGTTCCACCCCAGGTGCCTTGATTAAAAATTAACAAATCTCCGGGCTGTGTAATTTGCCACCAAATGTGATAAAAACGCTAATATTGGACAATGTAGAATATTTTAGAACATTTTTCAATAACTTTCTTCAGAGAAATGAATTCCCTAAAGAATGAAAGAGATCCAAATTAACCCTAATAGAGAAACCCCGGAAGCACCTAAATGATCCACCAAAATATCGTCCGATTTGCCTCATTGATGTAATCGGGAAAGTCTATGAGAAACTCATCAATACGCGACTCTTGGAAGAAATTAGGAAGAAACGAAATGGTATGCATCCAAACTAGTATGGATTTGTAAAGGGGAAATCTACCACACATGCAATGAAGAAAATATCGGATATCGTGAAAAGAAAAGCCACTTGGCATAAAGCTTTGATTTTAGTCGACGTTAAAAATGCATTTAATTGCGCGTCATGGGAAATAATTATTAAAGAACTTAGAAGATGAGGCATAAGTGGCTATTTGGTGAACATAATAAGAAGCTATCTTGATAATAGATTTATAGTTCTCAATAGAGAAGATGAAAGAGAGGTATTCGGTGGCGTCCCACAGGGCTCGGTGCTGGGGCCAACTCTGTGGAACATATACGACTGTGTCATGGAGCTTACTGTACCAGGTGGGACAGAGTTGATCTGTTACGCCGATGATCTTGCTGTGATAATAACAAAAAAAACTAAAAGAAACAAAAAAATAAACGACCCCAACCTAATGCAGACTGTGGATGATACACTAAAGATCATAGCCAGATGGATGCGTGAGCACAGACTCGAAATAGCTGTGGAAAAAACAGAGGCGATTTTACTGAGCCGCAAGAGAAAAGTTGACCATATAAGGTTTAATTTTAAGGATATAATAATAAATCCAGTAAAGCAAGTCAACTATCTTGGATTCCACATAGACCGTGCACTCACGATGGGCCTGCACATCAAGGAGGTGTGTCTAAAATCACAACGAACTGCTAAAGCGTTGTCCGCAATACTGCCAAACGTTCGGGGCCCAACACCAGCAAAGAGAAGAGTGTTAGCATATGCGTGCCAGAATATTAGTATGTATGGAGCACCTGTGTGGAACGAAGCAACCAATATGCACGTAAATAAAAAAAGACTTGAAGGTGCACAGAGAGTCATGGCTTTGAGGGTCTGCTCGGCGTATCGGACTACTTCAACTGAGGCAGCCTTGGTGATATCGGGTCAGGTGCCCTTGCATCTTCTCTCAAGAGAAAGAGAACGACTCTTTCTCAAGGGTGAAGTACAAACCAGGGCAAGCAGAGAGATGGAGAGAAACCGCACAGTGCAGCAGTGGCAGGCAGAATGGGAAGTATCACAAAAAGGACAGATAAGATGGACATATAAGCTCATCCCAAATATAAATATGTGGATTAAAAGAAAGCATGGAGAGGTAAACTTCTATCTTACTCAAATATTGAGTGGCCACGGAAATTTTGGGAGTTACCTGTGTAAAATTGGAAAGGGGGAAGTCGCGGAATGCCGATACTGTGCTGAACCCAATGATACTCCAGAACACACAATGTTTGCTTGTCCAAGATGGGAACAGGAAAGATGTGAGGCACGCATGACGATTGGTGGCAACATCTCCGCAGATACCTTCTTAAAATCGGTAACAGAAAGAAGAGAAAACTTTGAAGCCATCTCAAAACTGGCCCAAAATATACTAGAGGCAAAATACAGCGAAGAGCAGGGGTAATGACAAAAAAAGAACAGTCTGGCGTCTACTTGAGGAGATGCGTCCAGCGGGTGCGACGTGGCAGGAGCGAGGGGGTGACGTTTAGTGGATAGTGTCCTCCAGGCAGCTTAAGGAGAGATTGAGTCCCACACTCCGTACGTAAAGGTATTTTACACCTCCAATAAAAAAAAAAAAAAAAGTGCCTTGATGTAAAAATCCAATAATTCACATATCACCATAAGAGTCTAATCTACCATCGCCGTAAATAACCCTGTACTTTCAAATGTTTAATTTTTACTTGTCAAGTAAATATAAACTATATAATATATTTTAGTGATACTACAGTTATAAAAACTTACCCACAATTGTTTGCTATTATCTTCTTTTTTTGGTGCTTCAACAATTGGGTTTCGTTTTTCACTGATAACATTTGATATATCTTTTGCAAATGCATTCACATCACTGCACATTTTTCTCCTTATCTGTATAATTTTTGTAAGTAACGATTTTTGCAACCAATGATCACTAAGAAGCTTCCTTGTCAATATATCCAAAGTTCTTCTGCCAACCTTAAAAGTGAAAAAATAAAAAAAAAATATAATTAATTTTGAAAAACCTACTTCGTCAGAAAGATCAAAATGTTCTGCCATATCTAACAAATAATACAGCATGCTTTCAAAGTTCATATATTCTGTGTCGTTCATGCCCTTCGATGTCTTTATTTTAACCAGACTGGAAAAAAAAATGGTTATAAAAAATGCCTTAATTTTTAACAGAATATACTTACTCCTCAATATAATTACAAAAAGCTGTTAATTCTGGAATAATGTCTTCTAGAAATTCCTCCAGGTCATCTACTTTTCTCAGATAATTTGTCAACACGTCCCAGTAGTGCACTAGTTCACATTCAACTTTTTCAACAGGTAATAATTTCTTATCGTTCAATGGAAGAACTCCAATCAAGTTATTGATGGGTTCTGTCCTATAAAGTATGGTTATCTTTTAAACAGTAATTATAAAAATTAGGGCTGAATAGTTTCAGTATAGAGCAAATGCAAAGCCAAGACCAAGCGAGTCTTGCAGTCTAATAATAATCTTGGTCTTTGTCTTGCAGAGTCCAGTATTGGTCTTGGTCTTGCTGCAAGACTCTTGGAAGTCTTTTTTAACGAATTTTTACTAAAGCCTAACCTAAACCTAACCTAACCTAACCTTTCAATATAGAAAATCTTTAAATAAATAGTATTTTAAATAATTTAATGCAAATTACACATTTTATTATTAAGAAGTAGTTTACTAATTATTTACAACTGTTATTATTAGTTTATGTTAATTAACTTTATTCAACTATGTATATGAATACTATGTCATATGTGTATTTTAATATTACGAGTGATAACACTTGAATTTTCCCTTGGGTCGAATAGCCGTAGATTACGGTAATAGTAGATTACCTAGTTGTTGACAACTACTGATATAAGAATTTTCTTCAACATAAACTTTTTTTTCTCATAGCAATTCTGGTTTATAATTCATAATATTACTACTTCCGCGACCATCCCATTACAGACTGAAAATGTTTTTTAAATGATCTACATTTATTCTTGGTTCTATAGTACTTAGCAAAGTACTATGTAATATATACAGGGTGCTACAAATTCGAGGTACGAGCATTGGTATCTCGGTAACCGTAATAGATACGAACATGGTTAAATTGGGGCAGACTTGCGCTTTGGGATGTTCACCAAGATGCCATCAAAACAGTTTTAAAAATTTCAAGGATTGCTGAGTTTTTTGGAAAAAACTGATTTTTTTGAAAATCAATTTTATTTTTTCCTGTCGTTATTTTTTAGAAAATCAAAAAACTAATTGCACATTCTCGTAGCCACTTTATTAGGGCTATCTGGTAGTATTTTAAGATTTTTAAATTAGCTAACAATTTGTGAGATACAGAGGCCAACTTAATTTTTTTAAATACGGACCTGCATTTTATATGCCTCTGTATCTTACAAATTATTAGCTAATTTGATAATATAAAAATACTATCAGATAGCCCTAATAAAGTGGCTATGAGAATGTGCAATTAGTTTTTTGATTTTCTAAAAAGTAACAACAGGAAAAAATAAAATAGATTTTCAAAAAAATCAGTTTTTTCCAAAAAACTCAGCAATCCTTGAAATTTTTAAAGCTTTTATAATGGCATCTTGGTGAACATTCCAATACGCAACTTTGCCCCAATTTAACCATGTTCGTATCTATTACGGTTACTGAGATACTAATGCTCGTACCTCGAATTTGTAGCACCCTGTAGTACTAAACCGAAAAAATATTTATTTCTTGGCTTGTTCCAGTATATCAGTCACATTGCCTAAGTCATTTTTAGGAAAATCTGTAAATATTATGTCTACCATCTATACTTACTACTTTACATACTATAATTACTACTTTTTGTCATGTCAATGATGTTATAGCCTAATTTTTATTATTCTTTATTGTATTACAAATATAGGAAAAAATAGAAAAATTGGAATAAATCGCAAAACTATTAGAAGTAGGTTATGACATACTTAATAAAAGTTGAAGAGTTTTGTATAATAATGTATCAGAAAAAATGATAATATATAGGGCGTAACATTTAAAAAATTTGAGATTTTTTAATTTCAAATAGTTAAAATTCATATATGTATATACAGGGTGTCCCACTTAAGATGGATACAAGCCAATATCTTGATTTTTGTCGAGCGATCTTTTTCATTTTTGGCAGGATGCTGTATGGCTATAAGACGTACATTTTGCCAAGGGTAAGATATGCGGTACCTCATAGACGTACGTTTTAATGGGGTTTGATATTTTTCGAGTCAAGAGTAAACTACCCTTAGTACAGTATTTATTTCAAATCTGATAAATTATAATTGATAATTGGTTATAACTGGTTATTGATAATTAACCTGTTGTTTATCCAGTGGCGTCGTAAGTACTTAAAAAAATAATAATAAAAATAAAAATGTCTTATTTTAATGACACACCCTGTATCATTATTTATCAAAATTAGAACTTAAGTATCTTAGGTAAGGAGGATTCAATATCAGCACTGACAATTTTTTACCACACTGAAATCTAACATTTGTTTAAAAAAAATTGAAATACATATTACAAAAACTATTAGTTTTAGGTATTATTATTACATTATACATAAAAAGTTATAGAATTTTATGCAGAAACTAAAAATAAAATAAAAATAGGACGTTGCATTTAAAAAAAAACATATCTAATATCAGCCACACTTTTTTGAAGCATCCTGTATACTCTATAACAATTTTGAATTTTTCATATTTAACATTTTTTCGTACACCTCGAAACAAACGAGATAATGGACTTTAATCTATCGTTGACTCACCCTGTACAGTGAAAGCGAGACATTTTGGAAATGGCAGTATTTAATTTTAAGAAACAAGTAAAGATTTATTTTTACAAAGATTATAGTACTCTTTTATTTTTTTAACTTTGTTATATTAAGACATTTAAGTAAGTTATAACCACTGTAAATTGGGGGTGTCTTGTATTTTTTCTATTGCATCCCTGTCCTTATAAATAAATAAATAAAAGAAGAAAGATAATAAATAAAGTAAGATAAATAAATAGAGACATGAAAAACTTACTTTGCAAATACTTCAATTAGATTCTTACTCAATTGTCTAGTCTCAGAAACATCCGTTTCATCTGAATCCAAGCGTATAGCATTAAAAAAGGTCATGTAGTCACCCTTGACTGAAGATAACCATTTTGGTAAGAAATAATTCAAAAAGACCTTCATTACAACTGAATTCTGTTCATTAAATCCGCTCCAAAGAATATGTTGCCTTTGAATGATTCTAAATAAGGGCAAACCTAAGTCGCCACAGTGAATAAAAGCTGCACACCTAACATTAGCGTTAACGTCTCTTGTACGATCTTTAAGTTTTGGAATAGTCACAGCATTCGGTGCAATTCTTTTTACTGCCTCTCTACGAACCTGAAAAGAAGATTATTTACTACTCGTGTTGCAATACATAAATCATAGCAATTCATGATCAGGGAATGTTCGAAAACATTCGCTAACGTTCAGGATCATCATTTATCAACAGTATGTGTGGGTACAAACGAGAACGTCCCTTATTATTTTTTTACATTTTTTAAAGCAATTTAATTTCAAGTCTAAATATCATAAGCCTTTTACAAAAATACCTAGTCTTCCTCTAGGAGATGCGAAAAGCCTCTAAAGAGCACTGTATCACAGCGGTGGTTGGTTAGGTTGTATAAACCATTGGAAATTTTGACATCAAAATGAAAGTTCTACACCCTATATCTCCGAAACTAAGCATTTTAGGACATACATTTATACGAACTTTTTACTTATTTTTATCTGCAAAATATACTTCCGAAGTTTCCGGAATACAGTTCGGACCACCCTATATACCGGGTGCGTCTGTACGTGGCTCACCCCTATAACTTTTTTAGCCGACCATACCAACAGGTATGGTAGGCTATTCAGATCGGCAAAAAAAAGGTTTTTTAATTTCACTCAAAATAGCAATTCATGATGAGGGAATGTTCGCAAACATTCGCTAACGTTCACGATCATCATTTATCAACAGTAGTATTAGTAGTTTTTTTTTTTTTTTTTTTTTTTAACAGTAGTATTAGTAGTAGTAGTAGTTTTTTTATTAGTTATTTGGGTCATAAATGATCTAAATACAAAATATTTTCATGGTGTCTGTCTGTCTGTCCGTCTGTCTGTAACACGATAACTCAAAAACCGCTAAACCGATTTTAACCAAATTTGGCACAACAATTCTGTGGCACCCGTAAATCTGGCCATTATTTTTTGAGGGGGGTGGGGTGTTGGTAAGGGGGTTTGGGAGGGGGTTAATAATTTTAAAAAATCGTAACTCCAAAATTACCGTAGCTAGCGAAACGCGGTTTTCAATTTAAGATTAGGAATAATATTTGCAACAAAATTTGTAGTAACATCAAAATCAGTCAAAGTCGCAGTTTTTGAGACAAAAAAAATTGGAAAAATTCCTTTACTTTGAAACTAAAAGAACTGCCTACCAACTTTTTATTAACATATTTTAGTATGGGCGTTTAGTATACGTGCCTCCCGGCGCCAATTTTTATTTTTTCATATGAAAAAACGAGATTTGGTAGGTTAGTGTACGACATAAATTAGGATTCATTGACGGTATTCAGTATTTTTCGGCTACTTCCTGTTTCACCGGAAATCACTACAACTTCTGATTTTTAAATGGCCCCTCTGGGTATTTTTTAATTTATTCGATAGAAAATGACACTCTGAGGGTGCATCCACATTATCCTAGAAAAAGCGGATCGGCGTATCGGCGTAACGACCTTGAAACGATTTCCAGTATTTCTATTGGCTGAAATTTTTGACAGATGAATTTTTCAGCCAATAGAATTACTGGAAATCACCCTCAATAGAATGACATATCAAATTTTGACATTTTTACTTAAACAAAATTGTATTTTAAATTTCAATCTAGGGTGTCTTGGATATGTTAAAAACGCTAAGTTTTAATCAAGGAGCCTTGGAAAAATAGATTTGATCGCCTAATGTTTTAGTGTCTTGTCCTGGCCGGTTAAAAGATACCAAATCGTATTTTTAATCATATCTCAATTTTTCAAATGGAACGAGGGTGGCTCATTAGCATATTTGGAAAAGGCATTTTTTTAAGAATAATTTGGTACCACACACTTGGTATTTTGGGTCAAATTATCGTTATGAATCGCATGTTACAATTTCAAATAAACCATATGCGAAAATGTAGAAAGTTGACATATGATACGTCATTCTATTCAGAGTGTCATTTTCTATCGAATAGAGTAACAAAATACGCAGGGTGCCATTTAAAAATCAAATGTTGTAGTCATTTCCGATGAAACAGGAAGTGACCGAAAACAAGTGAATACGTCAATCAATCCTAATTTATATCGCATACTAACATACCAAATCTCGATTTTTTATCTGAAAAAATTAAAAAGTTATAGGGGTGAGCCACTTTTGAGTCGCACCTTGTATTAAAATTCGTTTAGCTTATATAATAATTAAAATATCTCTGAATTAAGAGTTCATTTTTTCTAAAAAACTCTATTAAACTACTATTTTAGCACAGATTATCAGATTATAAACTTATCGTCAAAGGCACTGTTTTTCGTGGTTCCAATTTACGGTGTCGCGCACTAGTTAGGTTACAAGTTTGCGCACAAGCACGCCTACTTATGGCCTCTAAAATTGTGTACAGCGCCTGACTGGCCTTGTGACCAGCCCAATTATTACGCTGTTTATACGGGAGTTTATTTTTGCGCACAAGAAAATTTACTCGTGTGCTCATCGTCATAAAAAACAATTTTCGTACCACGAATTAGAGACAAGATTTTTATCTGTATACTTATAGGATACCTAAGGTGCTAAGATTTACCTTAAGGTACAAAAAAAGTATTTATGCTTATGTTTAGACATATACTTTGATTTTTTGTGACTTTTCTGCTTTAACGCTCAATAATTGATTACTGATTAAATCATTTTTAATTGCTATAGAATGTTGTGTAAAGTTAGGGTATTAGCTTGCTATAGGTATGTTAAAATATAAAGGCCTGTCCTACACAAAAATGCTTGCCTATACAACTATATAAGACATTCTTAAATATATGTAAAAAATCAATTCAATTTTTTTCTTAGAGCAAAAGTATGGCCTAAGGCTTGCGGTAGACTGGATCTGTCAACAAAAGATGAAAAACTTCACCAAAGTCACTGAATATGTGACGCTCATTTCAGTACGAGAATGTGTCTGTGAAGAGCTTCTCACCAACAGTTGTTAAATATTTGAATTTTTTAAAACCTTTGCCAATTAAATGACAAATTAGAATAACCAACTATTTCAATCATTTTGAATGACTATTTGCTCTTAATGTTTTCTTTGTTTAGTTCTCAATGTTCTTGAAATTCTCATTTTTCTTGAGAATAAGAAAAAACAAGAAAATTCAGAAAAGAAAATGAAAAAGTCTGATATTAATGATAACTGACATTATTTCGACTTATTTTCTATATGCCAATTATAAATTTGCAGCATTTGCTCTTGGTATATTCTCCAAAAATTAATTCTCAAGCATTTTACAACACTACTTACTATATGACTTGGGTCTTTAAGGCATGACATAAAAGACTGTATTACAGGACACTCAGGATTCATAGGATCTTGCAACCTTACTAACGCAATTAATGCTTGTAACCTAATAATAGGTTTAGGGTCCTAAAAAATGGTTATGTAACAAAATATCAGACATATAATTTGGTACTACTTTTGTATTTTCTAACATAGCGGACTCAATTAAATCACACAATTCGTCATCTAAATTTGTAGTTTTATCCATATTTTGTAACAATGTAGATATGAAACAACACGTGTTGTATCTACAATCTTGATTCTCAATTTTATGATACTAAAAAGTAATATTCATTATTTTAGTTGTGGCTGTATATTTGTATACTAACGTCAAGAACCACTTCAATAGTTCTAGATAAAAAGGGATCTGTTGGGGTTTCAAACTCAAAATCTTCATTATTTTTGCTTGGTGATTTGCTAATATGTCCAATAAATTTTGCTATAAAATCTAAGAAAGACCTAACAGTGGGACTTTTATGGTCCTTTTGTAAAACATACTGTATACAATTGAGGATATATTCCAAAAACTCATTGAAGTCAGCCTGAAAAACATACACTGGTACTATTTCTCTATCAAAATTATCCAACTGTTCTCACTGTTTCATAAATTCCTTTGAGTAATCTGATATATTTTTGATGGTTTACTGGACCTTCCTGAACATTAGAAAGTATGTCCCTAATCTTGTTCTTCATCATCTAATTCTTCATTCACAAATTTTTTGATCACAATATTATTATAAAAAAATGAAGAAATTTAAACACTATGATTTTCTATTTACAAATATCTCAAACAAGCGTCAGGCCAAAGCTAGCGTCAGCTTTTATTTTTCAAATTCAAAATTACTTGTCAATTGTCATTTACCAAAAGTGCCAACCATAGAATAACTAACTGAAAGAAATGAAAACCCCTATGTTAAAGCTTGGAAACCTTAGGCACAGAATATCTAGCTACGCAACAGAAAAATACTCGAAATGAAAGAGCTAAAATTGCACAAATAAAATACTAGATGGCGCGACAATATCATAATCAGTAAAGTCCCTAGATATATAAAGTACCGCAATTACCGCCATATTGGCGCCAAAACTAGCGGCAAATTTAAAAAAGAGGCCAACATTTCGCTGTTTCGGCTTTTTAAGCAGCTGGTCGGTCCGGCGCCAATATGGCCGACCAACATTGACAGGCAAGCCGTAAAATAAAATATTTATTAATTGTAATAGAATTACGTTTATTATCTACAGTTTACCTTCATTTTAATGTAATATCAGGTGGTATATTAATATTCAATTCATAAATTTAATTTTTTAGGCCTATATATGTTAAGAGGTTATAAACGAATGGTTTCCCGTACAAGTGTGTTTCATTTTGTATTAGCATTTATTTATGTTACCTTTTAGCGCAAAGTACGCCAACAGAAGTAAGTTAATAGGTAAGAAGAAATAAAGTTAGAATAACATTTAGCATTTTAGTACTTAATTCAGTCAAACAATTGGAAAAACTTTGTTTGTTGATAAGAACGGGCTACCTATACCATAAGTAAACCTTTCCTATTATACCAGTTATGCTGTAGTTAGTTTTGACAAATAAGCATGATGTAACGAAAGTCTTTGGAACTATGAATAAGCTACAAACTTAAATTTGAAGGCCGGCTTTTATATGAGAAAATTTTGAACCATGGTTGAAACAAATAAATGTAATAATTAAATTGATATGATACATACCTGCTATTTTTGAAATATATTAATATATTGATAGAAAGATTGTTTCAGTTAGTATGACTTCAGGTAGTTTCAGCATTTTAGGTATGTAATTGTGCACTTATTTTATAAATAACTTAGAAAGAAGCTTGAAACACATAGGGGCTCTTTATGTGTGCTGTATAATTAAGGTTTGTATGTTATGGAGTCATGTTTATACAACAAATTTATTATTAGTTGAATAAAAGCAAGTTAATACCACATAATTCAATTAAAATATATTTTGCTCTGCAATTTAATGTTATATTTTTAAAACAACAAGTGTCATAGTCATAATGTTTAAGTATCATTATTATAAAAAAGTTATACTGCTATAAATTTAACATTGAAATAACTGTAATTATTGTTATACATAAATTAAGTAGGCATAATTTTACCTCGACAATATGTAAAACTTCAAACGAATCTTAACAATTTTATGCCATGTATAAAAATCAAATTTAAATCACACACTTTTATTTATAACTGACAGTATAAGACCAAATTTTTAAATATAACTTTACATGCTTACATTATATTCTTTACTTTTTATTAGTAATTACAATATGAACCAAAAAATATTAATTACTATCAATAAATACATAAAAACTAATCTATTTAAGTCCATGAAAATAACTATATAGTTAGCATATGCATAAACAACATTCTTGTTATTAGGATCAAATTTATTTGAGCTTTTTTTCATTGTTTTGGTTAATATCCCTGTTAGTCCTGACTGGTAAAACCACCTGAAGCGATGTCATCCAAATCTATATATGTATCATAACATAACTTATTCTTTTAAATAATTATCCTTCGTTTGGTCTGATGATAATATATTGTAGATTTATCTAAACTTCTTGCTGCAAAATGTTGAAAACTAAACTACACTAAACATTTTAGGGAATGATTACGTAGAGATTTCACTTACACTTAGCATCCTTTTTAAAAGATATGTATGGTAGTTTGCAAGTAAGGTCTTTGTCTTGTTCTAGATTAGATTTCTAGAGGTTGATTTCGGCCTGACCCACTGCGACCTTCTCAGATCTATTGTGGTCTTGTCTTGTTCTATAATGAAGTTTATGTACCAATAGGTTATACTACAAATAAGATTGTTAAAAATATTCACTGGAGCATAAATAAATTCAATCCACTACCTAACGTATATTGAATATCGACGATGTTAGAAAACACATCAAATTTTTCGTGTAATACACATTTCTTCACTAAAGATATCGACGCCTATACATTATTAACTAATAAATTTGTAGCATTTTAGTGGCTTTATAATTATTTTAAAATATGTGGATAAATATTTTTATCCTGAAATTGACAGCTTCTCAACATTTGACATGACAAATTCAGACAAATGTGACATTTAAACAGTCCTACCACTACAGTTTTTCCAGAAATACCCCAAAAATCCGCCATTTTGGCGCCAATAACATTGAACAAACCATTTGCGGTACTTTATATATCTAGGGACTTTAATAATCAGAATATAATCAGGAAATTTTCAACTTTCGGTTTTGGATCGACGTAGATCGACGGCACGTCGACGGCCTTGAAGCTCGGCTACAAATGCACAGTTGCCAGATTCAAACAGACTTTAATTGGCCTTCCATTCTTTTTCTGGTGTATAATAATTCCTTTCTATTCCTTCTTTTCTTTTTGTCAGATACACTTATATTAATTCATTCGTTTGGCTTTTAAAATAGTTTTAATTTTAAATATATTATTAGAAAACATAATATGCTCTCAAAATACATTTTTAATATACACAACTTTATTATATTAACTAAGAAAATAACTTTAACTACCTTTAAAATTAATAATATACAGGGCGATTGATAGTGATAATTATTAATGCTGAAACGTTAGTAATGAAATATACGTTTAATAATAATGGAAATGATTTATTAAAATGCAGTATCAAAATGTTAATTGACTAAAAAAATACTATAATAACAATTTTTTTCTGTTTGCCACGTTATTCATATAGACCTAGGTAGATTTTAAAAAGTGACACAGGTACAATTAATAATATATTAGTTCAGCATAAAAGTTGCTGTCACGACATCGTACAATAAATTAAAATTCATAAAATAAATTAAAAATTATTAATTAAAACAAATCTTTATAAAGAAACACAAGTATATCAAATTTGGGCCCAATCGAAATCCAGGGAAATGGTATCGTAATATGAAAATTACATTATGGTACCCCTTGATATGCTTCATGGTACCATAATATTGCAATGTCATCAAAAATACACAAGTATAATCAAATATGAGCCCAATCGAACGTCAGGAAGTTGTATCGTAATATGGTACTATATTAAGGTACCACTTTATATATGCATCATAGTAGATGCATCATAGTACCATCATATTACAATGTCACCGAAAATACTTACTATACCAAGTTAAGCCCAATCGAATGGTACTATTATGGTACCTCTTGATATGCTTCATGGTACCATAATATTGCAATGTCATCAAAAATATGCAAATATATATCAAATATGAGCCCAAATGAACGTCAGGAAGTGGTATCATAATATGGTACTATAGAAGGTACCACTTTATATGCATCATAGTACCATCATATTATAATGTCACCGAAGATACTTACTATACCAAGAATAAGTCCAATCGCACGTCAGGAAATGGTATCGTATATGGTACCTCTATCGTATATGGAACCTCTGTGTACTATTATGGTACCTCTTGATATGCTTCATGGTACCATAATACTACAATGTCACTGAAGATAATATACCAAGTTTAAGCCCAATCGAACGCCATGTATCGTAATATGGTACTATATTACGGTATCACTTGATATGCTTCATGGTACCATAATATTGCAATGTCATGAAAAATACGCAAGTATATATCAAATACTGTACGATACCGAAAAAACGGCTTCCAGTTGATTGGGAAAGACGATCGATGACATTTCCCATATAAATTTTACATAAAATGACAGCGATTTTCATTTCATAGCCATCGCTAACGCCGTTTTTCCTGATCATACGGTATGAACACAATCGAACGTCAGGAAGTGGTGTCAATAGTAGAACAATACTTTATAATAGGGTGCGTATTCATTATCCGAACGAACGAACGAACGAACGAATGAAAGTGCTGCGGTATGTTGGACGGGGACCGAACGCATGCGGCCGTTCGTTCGTCCGTCGCTCGACCATCCGTTTCGAGTCCGGTACATCAAAGGCGTTCGCCAACAAATGCCTCCGGTCTTCTCGTGCGGTCCTATCGTGCGGTCCCCGTCCATAACACTAGCGAACATTCGTTCGTTCGTTCGTTCGTTCGTGCGGATAATGAATACGCACCTTTATATTGTCGCCGAATTACAATCAAAATTCAGGATTCAGTTAGAATCAAACGTCAGGAAGTGATTTTAATTCAGCTCGTAAGATTTAACTCCAATTAACATGGCGAGTTAAATAATTCTAAGTAAACGTTTGAAAAAAAGAGCTCTAATTCTATTTTAATATGTTTAAATGATGTAGCAAATTTGAAGCTAGGCTTTTATCAGGGAAATATTACAATATAAATTACACAATGGCAACACTGCATAAAATTCCTTTTTAAATTTTGTTTGTAGAAAACTGTTTTCTTTTAAATTTATCGCCCTCTGTTATGTAGTAGTGAAACTACCGCATCAAAATATCTGATTTGGAGACAGGCTTTTAAAGCCTGTCTCCTTTTGAGACCTACGATTTTATACATGTAACGAGGCTTCTGTTGCGTAGCTAGATATTCTGTGCCTTAGGGTACGAACATAGTGGAGGCAGGTTTCTGCTTTCCGGCAGCCAGCGCCGTCTCTGGGCACCTATTCTTGATAACTCCATAGATAAATGAAACAAGTTTAGATTGGAAAGTGCCCATAAGGACAATGTAAACAGTATTTGGCGCTATTTTTGCAACGGTCGCGACCCAAAACTTTTGAAAATTTCGGAGCGGTTCGGCTTTTTCCGGAATTATATCGCCAAATATTGTTTATTCAAATTTAGGTAAAGGTGTGGATCCGGTGGCCGACCTTGAAGCCTATATTTGCTGTATTTGATCAACAATACTACGCA